ACTACACTCGACCAACCACTTACGATCCAACGATTCTCTTTTTCACCCCTTTTACGCCACTTACTATCACTGGTTCAACTTGTCTACTTGTTCCGTTGAAATTCTATTTTCTTCCTTTGTAGCTTTCCCGTTTGTCTCTCCGTTCTCCCGCTGTCCCTGCCCTGTAACCTCTTCTCATCGGTGGGTGACGTTTGCGCGATTCTCTTGCCGAACGCCACGATTGACCTACATTCCGCGCGAGCGATCGAAACGAACCAACCGCGACTGGTGACAACGCGCGCGCGTGTCTCTCGTTTCCCATCTCCCGCCTCTCGCGTTCACGGTTCACGAATGTCGCTTGGCTCGCCACGATCCCAATGAAAACAAAACTCTTTTTTACAGGGTGCAGATTCGCCGCGATACGTGACGGAAAGGCTAAGGCAATTCTCGGACCCTTTGGCAAGGTTTCAACCCATCAATGGTAAGAGCGAGATTCTATCCGCGATACTACATCGTTCGCGAAATAACGTAACACAACGCGCAAGGCTAGTCGAGGAGTGACGAAACGAGGCGAGGTGGCGGACGAAACGTGTGGAAAGACAGGGGGAATCGTCTATTAAGGAGTCAGCGACGCATCGACCGGCTCTCCCCGTCGACGTTTCCAAAACATCGGATCGCTCTCGCGATACTGATATTTTTAAGTAGATTAATGCCAGACACGAGACGGAGCATTAAGCAGATCGGTATTAATGAGTTTTGTCACCCTTGAGTGACACTCGGTTTCTATTCGGTTACACTCGTTGCTATAGATAGCCCACCCATGAGCTTCCGAGATGCAACGTTCTCCCGTCTCCCGGTCGAGTGAGCCTCTTCCCTCGTTTTCTCTCCACTTCGTCGCCACTTCTCGTTCGTCCCGTCTCGACTCGAGACTCGATAGCCTCCTACCGCCGCGCGGCACGCGTCACGAGTCACGACTCACGAGCAATCACGCGCGCGCGCGCGCGCGCGCGGTAACCGTATCTCGATATCTCGATTCCTATCCTCGAGACCTTGCATTCAACGAATCGACCGGGGAACAAACGAATACGTACTCACGTACACACGTGATACGCGTATGTAGCTTTCGCGAAATTTGTCGCGCCGAGCTAGCTCACCGATTTATCCCCTTGTTTCTCGCTATTTTCGCACGACATTCGTAAAGTTTTCGTTTTTCCGACCTGTACCGAAAATGCGGCGGGATTAATTGGCCTACATTCTGAAAATAGACAAGCAGCCGTGCCTGTTGGTCGAGAGTCCGTACACAGTACACAGACATTCTCGCGAGAGATGATCAGAGTCGACTGTGAATTCTCGAACCGAAGGGAAATCATCGATGCCGCTGAATCACCGAGTGTCACAAAAACACCCAACATCTAACCGAAATGCTTGCTCCTGTAAGAATCGTTTCAGTTTGAACAAAGAGATGCGGACGTAACGTTATAAATACTGTTGATCGAGTTTAGTTGTGCCTGTACACTCGCTCGACAAATATCAACGTTTCAGAACTAAATGTTTCCGAACATGGAATTTCAATCGTTAAAATAACTTGGGATTAATTAGCGTTAATGAATAACTGAATATCGGTGAGCGTGGACCGTATTTCAACGGGTAGAGAAGAAAAAGGCCACCGGACAAGACTACAGACACTTGTGTCTAGGGGACATATACATATGTATATGTACGTATGTATACATATGTATACGACATGATACGCGTAGCGGTGCGTGCTGCTTTCGCGAACGTCGAGCGACGACTTGCCTACCCGTTTGCGTTGGATTCTCAAATCTTGCGACTCGAAGGCAAAACAATGAGAAACAGGAAGCCGAGCACTGGAGGAGACCGGAGGTGGGAGAAATAGAGAAGGGTTGTTGAGATTCGTAACGGGAGGTACGCGCACCAGTCTATAATTCACGATCGCACCGCTACGCCTTCGCCAAGTCGAAAGCCGCGAAACGAGAGAGAGAGAGAGAGAGAGAGAGAGAGAGAGAGAGAAAAAGAGAGACGATACCCTCGTCGGTAGGAATAGATGTAGCCGCGGAAACGAGAAACAAGTTCTTCCCTACGAGCGAATTACTTGCAGTGGTACCGGTGCCAAGCGATTTACCGAACCGTAACCCACTAACGTGGACTCTGATTATTTTAATTAATGCCTCACCGTTGCGTCCCATTTAACGAGCGTTATTTCAAAAGAGCCGTCGCGTCGTTCCGACCGAACGCGACCACCCCATGGTAGCAATCACCGAGACGACGCGACGCGCTTGGGAACTCCTCTTTCGAAAAAATCTCCTTCGACCGATGAAATGCATCGAATCTCTAGTCTGATCTTTTCTCGAAAGATGAGAAACTGTAAACTTTAACCGCTTCAAAGTGCCATATATTGCCACGGTACATTAGTATGACGCATCGTCGCCGAATCATCCTTTTGCCGAAGGAGCGCAATGCGCGTTTAAATGCAACCGAAACTGCAGCCAAAATACATACTTTGCCGCATCCAGATATTCGCTAATGTCTCTCGAATATCCCGTCTTCTCCGTCACTTGGCCAGCTGCTCTCCTCCCGCGCTTTCCTCCCTTCCTCAAGCTCTTTCTTTCTCTCTTTGTCCCTGCTCTTGCGGATCGCCCGTCTAACGTAGGTTCGCGTTACCAGTCTAACCAGTCTAACTGTTTCTTTTTCTCTACATTTTCTCGCCTTCTCAAGGTTTTGACCCGCGTTTAGAGTAGAACGCGCACGAGAATCGATGTTCCGAGCGGCGATCGGTCTCGGCTCGCAATCACCAGCGTACCGAGAGGAACGGGGTTTCCCGTTTATGCCGCGAAGCATCGTCACGCTCTCGCTTCTCTCTAATGAGACCGAATCAATGGTTCTTTGTCCGTCTAGGAGACAGATCCGGTACGAACGAATCTTAACAAGCCAAACTTCTGAACCGAATCAGACCTCTATCAGGACCATGCCACGCAATTAAGTTGCCTCGATTCAGTTTCGCCAAAGAATTCGGTCGAGATTTTTGAACGAGTACGTAGAACGTCGCGTCGAGAATCGTTTATCGAAATTCAACGTTTTGCCATTTTTTCCTGCTAATTTACGCCTACACTGCTACTATTGACTCGTATCTACATTTCCTTTAAAGTAAACTTTTATTCTTTTGCGTTTCGCGAATCAAAATAGAAATCGATCGAAGCGGCTTTTCAAACGCGATCGTTTGCCGGCCAGTCCGACACCGATACACCGATGAATCGAATCACGAAAATTCGATTCCCGTCGGCGCGACATGGCGCAGCGTGTCGACGAAAGCGTGTGACGCCAACCGATGATGCTTTCGATACGATTCAGAGGTCTGGATTTTCGTATCTCGCGTCATCATTTCGAAACGATTTACGCTCGATTTCGCTCGTCAAAAATCACACGCGTTTGGCAATAAGCCGCCTGTGTAGCTTTTCGTGAATGCGTCACGGGCAGAGAAATATCGCACCGGGGATAGATACGATTCGTAAATTAGAGGTAACCGCAATTTGCCGGTTTTCGCGAACACGATCGTTCCTCGATCCATCGATCCGTTGGATCCTCTCCAAAAGAGCAAAGTGAGAACCAGTTTCCGGTTTACCATATGATTTCTGCTTCGGTCGGAATACCGATTTTCGTCTCGTTCTTTTGACGATCATTCTGAAATCGCGATTACAATAATTGTGTCGTGCGCACGATTACTCCGCACTCTCAACTATGTATGATACATACAGTACCGCACAAAAGCTTATTCCAACGTCTGAATTGGTATAAGAAAATCTAATGTACATTCTCATAAACTCCAAAGGTCATATCATTCGAATAATAATTCTGAGCGGTACTGTATTGTATACATACATATTATTATGTATGTATGTATGTATGTATGTATTGCCAGAGAGGGCAAACGAGTCGCGTTGATTCATAAAACGCTCAAGTCCTAAGGAGCCGATTTCTTGTATCGTACAAGTACATACAATGTATACCGTCACGCCGTAACGAGGAGTTTCACTCGCATTTGTTCGCAGGATTCGAGCAAACGGAACTGCAGTCGACTCAAGTCACCGGTAGCAGCCTGGATCGTCTGAACATGATTGTGCAAAGTATCAATGATCCGTCGTGTCCGATCGCTGATACTCATCGGTACCCTTGCCACCAATGAGAACAACGAAACCGGTATTAGAAGAATCGCAAAATTCTCACCGATTGTTCTTACACTCTGGACTCGCTGCTACATTCAAGTTGTGGATATCAAGTTCCTAAATTCGAGCTTCGACGAAACCACTTCGTTCGGTGTTCTACCTATAATCTCGCCGAACGTTCGTTTCGATCTCTGCGTCTTGTTCGTTCATCGCGAACATCGTCGTGAATCGAAGCGCGAATTACTAGCAAGAAAATGAGCGTGGGCGAACGAAATTTGTTAACTTCATTGCTCTGTAATCTGTAAGCTGATCACGCGTCATCCATGGTAAACGAATTTGCCCGTTCGTCCATCGGATTTCGCTTTTACGTTTGTCTATGTATGTATGTACGTACGAATTCGTTTTATCGCGCTACTCGACAATAAAAAGAACATGGACGATTATTTACTTTTCCATCGGCTTTCCTTCAACTCCGCGTCTCGTGAATCTTTTGATCGACGCGATTTCAAATCGCAGCGTTGCATAGTCGACGGTGAAACGGATTTAGGATGGTTTGCGCGCAATAGTATGTTTAAATCGGATAAGATATGTAACGACGCGTACTCAATGCGGCGTGGACCAGTTTTCTCAAAACAAAGAACGCGAGGTAGGAAAATTCTTCTTCGGTTCGTCCGAGTAGCCAATGCTCCATTCGTTTCTCCAGACTCGGGGATCGCGAGACGTTCATTTGCCGAGACAGCTGGAGTCCCAGTGGATTTATGAACGTCGCTTCGAAAAGCCGACATCGCGGCGGCACGACCAAAAGAATCGAACACAGGAAGCAACAGACTTTTTCTGGGCTAGTAAATCCGATAGTTTGTAAAGTTCATGCGAGCGACGTGCCCCATTTGCCGAGTTATCGGCACGTTTTCAAAACATTAAAGTCACGTCCTACGGACACAGGCGCACGCGCATCCATGCATCTGTCCCCGTGTTTTTCGAGATCCGCTCGTTATAGCCGAACAATTTCCGTAGAAGGAACTCGGTACTTTGACACCGTCGCTTCGACACAACGGATGCGTATCCTTACACACACACACACACACACACGTACGTTAATGAACCATGTGCCTCGAAACTTCTTCTGTTACCCTTACTTTCTCATACGCTGTATATTTGATACCCTTCTAGTAGGATCCTGGCAAAGGGAAATCAACTTCTTTGCCGCCTTTCGGAAAATTTACCGGTCTCCCAGTTTTCCGATTTTTTTTCTCGAAATTTCGTATGTAAGTTAAATCCTAACATGATAATTCTTCACGCGCGGTTGGCTCTCGTGGAAAGTAGCGTTTCAGTTGACGACGGATCGCTGTAATTAAAGGAAAAACTAAAAAACAGTTTAGTGTTTGGCAGCCAGGGTTACGCGACAATCTCGACATTAGCCGAAAATATCCATGTCGCGGGAGTAAGAATAGTTGGGGACGGCATAAATATTTTCGGAGTTACCGACCCGTCAAAATTCTCGGCACTTTGCAGTCGAGCGAGCGTTCTCGCAGTCCTCGTTAATGCTGTCTACATATGTCTATATGCGACGTTGCTTTTGTCCCTTTGTCGACTTCATAATCGCTTAACAACAGTAACGGACATTTGCCGAGGAATTTGTTCGAACGAACAACAAATCATTGTGCTCGAGATTGTGGTTGTACCGTGCATGGTCTCTTTGCGTGTACAAGTATCCTTATCCGTTGCTCACTTCTGTTTTTGCTCTTTTGCATCATCTATTTTTCACTTTTGCCGATTTGTCTCTAAGCCGATCGAGGCGTCTTCGTTTAATCGTGTGCTGTAACCTGTAACTCTCTCGGAACGACTTCTGGAGGGTTATCTGATACCGTCGCGACATCATTGGTCCATAAACGACACTGTTCTGGGGTGTAGAGACAAGATCAAATATCAGGAATACGAAGTTGCCGCCATCTGATCAATGTACAGAAGAAATTAATGAAATTCAAAATTTAAATTCTAAATTCTAAATTCTACACACAAGTATGAATAGATTTTCTATGTAATTACGGATATAGTAACGTTATTGATGTTGTAATTTAATTATTATTACATACAAAAATACACGGATTCTATACCATTGTGGAATCCGATCAGCAAACGTCGCTGAAATCTAGATGGCGTTCGTTTTACATTCTTGCGGATTATTTAAAAGATTCAATTTTTCTATCAATATTCTTCTTTGCATTTAACATTCTCTTAGTTATTATCTAAAAATCAAGATAATTGTAAAAATTATAAAAGGTTGTAAAATATTAATTATTGTTCTTAAAGTGTAAGTCATTTTCGGAAGATTTACATATAAAGATTAAAATACAGAAATAAAAATTAAATTTCCGCCACATTCGGTATGCCTGCGCTATCATCGGTTTGATCAATGAAGCGGCGAACATTGACACTACACTATATTGCCGACGCATTACAGCTCTACCGACTCGACAAGTACGTATGTACCTACAGCAGTAGACATTCGTTAAATGATTTATATTTTTATATTATTTAAATTTATTCTATATCAGCAACGCCCCTCGTCCGCACGTATATCCCACTCTGTTGCCCAGGAAGAATGGAACGCAATACATACCGGGGTATCGCGTTTGACTCGTATATTTTTCATCGCGGAAAGTGCAATGTTTCAAAACTGAAAAACTTCCGCGATTAACCTTATTCGATACCTCTGAAAATAACGCAAAAAGCCTACTCTATATCCAACTGCGTCTCGCACAAGTAAACAGACGATTGGTGGGGAAAGCGAGCGTGTGATTCGCGCTAGTTTATTCCAGACTATTTTATTATAGTTTAGAAACGTCGTGGCTTTATGTAAATAGATAGTTGAAAGTTTCAAGTGGCAAGCAACGACTGCCTCCGAAATAACTAGAGAAGCACAGACAGTAAGAAACTAATTGTTAAGAAAAATTGCAAAGCAAACAACGAACATATTGTCGTTGCACGTGTACTTTGAGCACCGCTTTTCGGGCATTTACAGTTACCCGCGATACATACCGTGTTATTTTGAATGAAAAACGGTTCTTTGAGTAACTTGTTTCTCGTGTAAACTATTTCAGTGGGCAATCGATTGTTCACGCTTTCAATCTTGCTGGACGAGAGTCTCATGGAGCTTTTGCCATCCGCGCACGTATCGTTTATCGTGATGCTGCCCGCGGCGACTACGTTCGCGCTCGCGTTTGAAAACACGCAATTATCGAGGTAAACCAGGTCACCTTCGATCAACAGGTGACTCGGTTTCTGGAGTTGAAATTTCGAACGAACGATCTCTATCTTTGAGAAATACGCAAAATTCAGGGATCCTGTGATGTTCTGAAAATCCGTGTTTTCTATTTTTAGCGTGCCTCCCTTTCCTGAAAAGTTCAATCCATCGACCTGTTCTATCGTAACGTTGATCATGGAGAAATCGGTTATAGTGATATTGGTGAAGAGTTCTTCGAAACGATCGATTCGCGTGTCTTCGATTTTCATCGATCCAATGCTGTCCAAACTGAGAAAAGTATCGCGCGTGATCGATGGTATTCGCCGAATGTTCGACAATTTTAATCGTTTGATCCTCTTCGATGTCAGGAATAACTCGAAAATTAAACGCTCGCTAATGTTTTGCACTACTATTTCTGTGATCCGATTAGCTTCCGTCAAACTGGAAAAGTGCAGATTCGCGAAGCTGCAGGATGCGATATGCAGACTCGTCACATTTTCGTAGTTGTATCCTTCCGGCAGGAGAAATTCCTAAAAATAAAGTTCCACGATGGATCGTTTAGCCGATGGGATGAAACGTAAAATGGTGAAAAAAAATTGGTTATAACGCGACGCCGCGACATCAGTGCACTCACCTCGTTCCCAATGCACCGGCACACGATTCTCGTTTTCTCGTCGATTTTGCATCGTTCATCGATATTTCTTGCCACTACGAGAATAACCACGCAACTCAGTAATTCCGCAATCCCCAATACCCCTTTCATTTCTGTTTCTTTTCTGTATTCTCGGCTTGAAACGTTCTTCGTTATTCTCCTCGACGAGCACACGAGTCTTCCGATTGTATATCCACACGATCCACGTAAACCGGAACTTGTCCACCGTCACTGTCCGCTCTTTCTTGAATTCGATTCTTCTTTCCTTGTTCCCGGGACCGCGTTAGCCAAGTTCTCACGAGATGACAGTAACGATGCTCGAGGTAAAGTGCGTACACATTGTAACGAAATAGAAGATCGAGCTATCGCTGTCAAGTACCAGCACCGAATAAAGATCGGTCGATCGTCGGGATTAAGATGGACAGTTGTTTCGTGCCGTTTTTATATTGAGTGACATGCGCGCGTTATTCAATTGTAATGCGTGTTCCATCTACTTGACTCGCCGAGCCAGCGGCTGTGTATTCTACCATTCTACGTTACGAGCTTCCGATCGTTCCGGCGAGTACATAGATACATACATACATACATACATACATACATACATACATACATACATACATACATACATACATACGACAGGAAAAGTTGATTAAGATACACCCGGACCACTTCCACACCGGAAAAGCGCGGTTTTAATGCCAACCGGACATTATGTACTACTGCGTCGTCGTCGAACTCGAACCGCGCGCAGTCTGAATCACACAGGTTTTATCGAAATAATAACAACGCTCGCCAGACTGTTGTTACTATAACAACTGAACTGTTTCTAACCGCCACACTCTTTACCCGGTTGTCTTCTTTCCTAGCACTCATTGTCAGTTAGAGCCGCGCCTACTTTCTCTCGCCAATGTTCTCCGTGACGTACGTACAGAGTGTACACGTTCTTCACAGAGTAAACACGATGCCGAAGATGAAACGATGCGAGACAAGGTCCACGAGAATGTGTGTTGTGCCGTTTATCCCTGATCCTTCTTCGTGCGTGAAACTTTATCGATTAATATAGAACGGCCGCGTAGTGTATCAAACGATAGGAGATAAAGGAGACGTATCAATTGTGAAACAACAACCGTAATCGGTTCGTTACCCGTTACGGATTTTCACCGACTACAAACATTTCTACAAGTGGTACTCGAGAATGATTCCGCGACTATCTGTGTATATCCGGATGTTGGAAAACTTGCTCAGTTGCATCACGACCTTTTGTAAACGATCCTTTTGATCGTGTTTTTCCGCTCCGGTGATACGAGAGCTAACGGTGTCTTTCCTCTTCGATTCGACAGATTTGTGTGACCACCGGCCTGAATCAAAAGCCAAAACACTTCCTTTTGCCTCTCCAAAGGTACGTTGTCCGAAACAGCCGCCGCAACGTGTAACGCCGTGTCGTGATTGTAGTTGGTCGTGTTCACTAGATCTACGGCATACGCATCGAGCAGCACCTGTTGAACGTACATACAACCGCGATCAGAATCGATGGAAAAGGAAAACTGTAAGTTTTACAAGTACATATACCTTGACGAGAGCAGGATCGCAGCTTAACGAGATCGCCATGTGTAACGCGTTGTAACCGCATTTCGTTTCCTTCACTCTAGGATCGGCTCCGCATTCGAGCAACAGTCTCACGGTTGCCACGGAGACGATTTTTTTCACCGATGGATCGTGCAACTCTATCGCCACGTGAAGAGCAGTCTTTCCTGCAACGAATCGATACGCAACACACGTATATACATATACATATACATATACATGTATGAGATCGTATTTTCGGAAATTAGCGTATCGTTGTCGACAAAATAACTGTGCGTCGAGTCTAACCGTCGTAATTACGCTTGGACAGATCGAACACCCTGTTTCCTTGGATTGTTTTTAAGGCAAGCAACTCGGCGATGTTGTCGACGTGAGAATCCCCTTGCGCCGCGACCAAATGTATTAACGTGTCGCCCTACGAGCAAACCGGACACTTTATAAGTGAATCTACGAGCGAAACAGTCACGATAGACAAAGTAGACTGGAAACTTGAGGCACGTATTATATGTATGTAGTACTTAAAAAAAAAAACAAATTTACGCGTACAGACTTACCTAAAGATATGCTGTCTACTTTTCTATTGTGATTGTCGCGTACTTTACTATGTTAGATAGATAAGAATACATCCATTGTTTTCTCGTAATATATTGTGCATATTGTATATGTAGATAATATGTATTATGTATATGCGCGGATGGATGGATGGATGGATGGATGGTTGACTAATGTGACGAAACTTACGCGGGTGTGATAGAGACGTTGACTAACGTCAATCCCTTTTTGTATCATTGTGGCGGCTAAATATCCGGTGACATACGAATATTGCGGACAGTTCAAGGCGGCCAAATAAAGCGCGTCTTCGCCACGATTATTTATCGCCGATAGCGCTCCCCTCACTGTACTCAATCGTTCGACCAGTGGAGCCAAGTATGCTCTTTTCTTCGCGAGCTCGTCCGGATTAGCCACCAAACACATCAGCATTCTGTTTGAAACACGTCGGTAAACAGATAAACGATGGACAGCGAACATTGAACACAAGTAGAACACAGTATATGTACATATCTATGCTTACGTGTCCCCGTCGTCATCTTGCTTCGCAAGTTCCTCCAACGATAATTTCAGCAAACTGCTCATAGCGCGTTCCACTTCCTTCGGGTTCAAATCTTCTGTCAGTCTCTCGCTAGCCCTTACGGATGGTAAATTCAAGGATGGCCAGGGCATTATGTTACGCTCGGAATGCCTGCGATAGCGTGATTGTAATATGATAACAAAAATATGTTGAATGCAATGAAAGTGAACGCGAACAACGACGATTAGATAGGAATGTATCCACTGCATTGCTCACCTTTGTACTCGACAGTTGGCAGATTCGAAACAGGCAACCATTTTCGGTATCCGAATGTCGTCCCTCGTATCCGTTACTTTTGCCGGACGGAATTCGTCATAACGTTCATTCGGATGAGCTTCGAGAAAAGGAAATTGCGCGACACCGTCGACACCGGAAACAATAGGATCAAGGGTCGACGAAGAAGAAACGAAAGGATGCAGCAAAAAGGAAAGGTCAGGAGTCGACTGGTGGCGTTCGATCGAAACGCCGGACGATCCATTCTTCTTCGAGGAATTTACGACACTCGTGTCCGGATTCTGGTATTTCTGGTTTCTCGCTGTCGCGCTCGAATTCGGTCTCTGGGTAGGAGGTATCCGCGGTTCAGGTTTGCACATATCGTGACGGGTCGTAGAAGAAATTTCAGAGTCCTGATACACAATTGGTTTTACCGTGTTTACGTGCGGCGAACATATACTCGTGGTGAGTTTTTCCGACTTGAACGAACGACGATGTCGCGCCTCTTCCACTTTGGATTTTTCCTCCCCCAAATCCCTCAGTACTTCCTCGACCAGCTGTAATTCGTTGTTGTCGATCGTATCGACGACGTCGGACGCATCCGTACTCTCAACGGTTTCTGGATTATTTATCCAGAACGAAAAATTCCCAAGATCCTCGCCCAATCGTTCTTCGATTCGAGAAACAAAGATCGACTGAGAACCGATCGGACTCTGTGCGTCTCCGTAAGACTGATTGGAGGAGGAAGAGGACAAAGAAGAGGGGGAGCAGGAGGAATTGGAGGTAGACGACGATAGCTGCTGGGGTCTGTACGCGGTTGCGGTAACCTGTAAATTTCAAACAATCGTATCGGATGAATGTCAAATACGAGATATCGTGTAATCGTGTACACTAATTATTATTGGAAAATCACCCTGCTGTTTACCAGCCCAGGTGAACTGATCGGACTGTTTGTTCGTGGAAGTCGCATGCGAGACGACGAACCGGATGAACGAGTAGAACCAAAGTCGCGATTTTTGAAACTCGAGGTGCTCCCATCCGGAGTAGTATCGATCACAGAATCGTGATGGGTCGTAGGGATTCCTTGAGTAGTGACCAGATTGTTGCCGCAGAGGAGGTACTGTGCCGGTTGAAAAGCGTTGCGAGAAAGGATCTCTAACAACGCGTCCTCGCTTGGATCGTTATTCGTCGCACTCGTCTGGCTAAAAAGAAACTAAAAACGGAAGTGGAGCAACGGTATGATACTTGATCGAGAAACGTGATCTTCTTTCAGATTAGTCGGGAGCCAGCGATGAACGCAATTGATTTACTTACATCTGTGTCCGCGTCCACGGCATGAATCTCCAACGAGTTTCGATTCTCGCCGAGATTCCAACGGTTCGAAACTGTTCTTACGGTGTCTTGTAACCGATCGAGACAGGCGTTCAATTTCTCTCTGCATTCTTCGTCTCGAAGAATTTGCTCGGCGGTCTCCTCGCAATCGAGAACGAACGTTTCGTTCGTTTTCGAAGAATATATCGGCCCGTTGGTCGTCCAGTAAGGTCGATCGCGTGAATCTGAGAGAAATTGGGATTTAATCGGTCCACGCTCGATAAGCCGATCATCGTGATGTTCAGCAGCGTCGCTGCCAATCCCGTTAGGACCACGACCGTTGTCGTCCCGACCATCCTCCTTGTCTTCGGTGTCGTCGCTTAACGAAGTTAAGGCCTGCTTCTCACTGGATTCTTCACGATCGATGCGCGCGAACCGAAGATTTTCAATTCGTTCGATTATGTCGTCGAAATCGTTCGACAAGCCACGAACGGTCGCGGTGTTTTTCGGTGCGTAAGTCGAAATCGATTTCTCGATACGAGGAAGCGATAACGTGCTCGTATTTGCCATTTTCGGCAAATCTTCTTCTGTTCACTGCTTTCCAGCAGTGACGCGCGCGGCGGTCTTTTTTCTCTCGTCAACTGTACATAGGTAAGTTTTTTCTGCCGTACTGTATTTCGTCGAGCCACAGCAATGGGTCGTCTGCAAAAGAATCTTTGTTAGACGCGTGTCTAAAGCTCTCTATGGAACGAAATTATCTAATGAGTAGCTTGAACAAAATGAGAAAAAAGAAAGGAAGGAAAGCGATGACTGTGGCTATTTTTAAGAGATTTAGATGATAATCGTGCCAAAAAGTGTACGAATCTTGTATCGTTCGCGAGTAAACCGCTCTGCGAGTTACGTATCTTTTTGCTCGCGACGAACCAGTTTACTGTTGCGTCGCGGGTGCAATACGATTAAACACGACTCGCGAATGTACGTTGTCGATTATCTTGTGGCGAATGAGTACTACACAACTATGTTGTATATGTATGTATGTATGTATGTATGTATGTATGTATGATGTTAGTACGACGCTTTGTCGTACGCGGTCGTATCGTTATTCGGTGGCAACTGGTTGCTCGCTCGCATGCGTCGTCAGTGTGTGTGACATATATACATACATACAAATACTTATGTACATCATATATGTATATGTATACGACGGCATTCTTTTGGATCGTCGCTGTACATCAGAACGAGAGTTCGTAGGAAAATTCTGCTGCGAATTTGCGGTCGCTTTTCATATTGGACATCTTTCTCTAAATTCAACGACGATACCACATGATTCGTTACATTTCTTTGATTCGTAAGTATATTCATTGGGCCTGTTTGTCGGAGACGCGAGAAGTCGCAAGACGGCGTGCCTGGACTCTTTAGTCGCGTCGCGCGAATGAGCGAGCAAGTGAGTCTTCGCTCGCTCCGGTTCGCCCACACACGTCCATTGGATAATATTGTAAGGCGCAAAAACGTAATCCGATGCTGCGCACACCAGCGACATCGAAACACGCGTGTTAATCGCAAACCCACTTCACAGAAATAGAAAGAGAACCAGAGAAACACGACCATACTTATCTAACTACGAAGAAGCGATCCGGTCGATCCGTGTGTCCTTATGTTTGCCCGTTCGGTCGTTAGCATCCGGAACGCGACAATATTTGCTCTTCTCGAACGCGGCGATCTTTCCTCGTGAAATCGACGTGTCCATTGATCGTGTAGAATATCAAGACGCGCTCGCGACTCACGACCAGTCTCTCCCGTCCCGCCGAACGAATGCGCTTCTGTTCGGCTGGAAATAGCGGTTGCGCATGCGCCACGCTCGATGACGTCTAATGACGCGTTCGAGGCCGCGCGATTTACATATGGATGCATGTATAAAATTCATATATGTATATATAGCGATTGGAGTAGTTGCAGTAACCACGTGGTATCGCCTTTCGTTGCCGGCACCGCTGCTGCTGCGAAATCCTCAGAACTGTTTATCCTTTCGAATTTTTTGGTTTGCGATCGTTGTTCGATCACTGTTTTCAAACAGTCTGTCCGTGTTCGCTTAGGGATGGGCCCGCGACCAAACGTCTTCAAACATATTTCATTCCATCCAACCTCTCTACGAGCATGAGAACTTTGGACAGTCCACACACGTAGTTTCGCGTCCAAACTCAAGGTCGCGTCCAACTTTTCCCGAAACGGTCGAGCGGTAGGCGGTAGGTCATGCTAGTAGAGGTGGTGGGGCATTGGAATTGTAATTGGGACTACGAGGTAAGGAGAGTATGTACATACATACATACATACATATGTGTACACGATATGTATATGTTCGTCTCGTACCTCGTTTTTCTTCTTGTTCTCGTTCTGATTCTGGCTCTGACTCTCGCTGTTGCCGCGTAACATGGCATAACATATCAGCGGTAGTACATACGTATATATGTATATATGTATAATATGTATACATAAACTTTGTGAAGGCAATTCGAGTGCGAAGCGCGACGACGATATTTCGGATACGACGTGGCATGCCGTGTCGAAAACGGTACCTCTGTTCTTCGCGCATTTCATCGGGTAGCGTCGCCAAGAACGAAGGCGACGATGACGGTAACGATATCGCAACTGGAATACGGTTGAGACACGCGCGGTCATTGTGATTCGCACCATTTCGCGAAAGGTTAAAGGTGGATTTATAGTATCGGTATCTGATACGTAAATCGATTCCGTATCGGAAACGTTCAAGCTAAAAGAAGACACGAGTACCTACTTATGTATACATATTATACGTTCGTCGGTCGGTGGCATCCCGATCAGTCAATCGACAAAAAGTCACTCGACGATAAGCATGTCACAGTTACAGCACCACCAAACAGCGATTCGTTATACTTCAATTGCAAACAAACATTTTCCGTTGTGTTATGCCGGTACGTGTCTATGTATATCTATAATCTATAATCTATACGATACGGCATACGGCACGTACATACATATAAACACCTACATACATATATTCAAGTGCATTGAAGAATACTACTTGTCTGATCGGATACGATATTTCGTGTCTGTGCGGATAATGTAAATCGACCTTAAAGCGGAGATGATCGCGACGTACGACTTGGAGTTTTCGATATCGTACGTTCGATTAGCGAAGAAACGATTGTAATCTTACGGACTAATGAAAGGGGACACAAGGAAATCAATGTACGTGTTCCATTGATATTTCGTTTTATTCCGATGAAACGGATAGTTTCGATCTGTTGTTTCGTTAGTACGAGCGTACGACTAGATAAATAGCTGCAAAGCTGGCTACGTTAATTGTCGAAAAACATCTCGTTCGTGAAAACAGACGAAAAGACTCCAATTCTCCAGAGTATCCACGCAATCAGGCCAATCATACAGACATTGAATATCCTATCGATCCATCGCATCCTGTAACATTCGAATGTCGCGAATAACCTCTGCGCTGGTCTGTGCGATAGGTGCGTTACGCAGCACCGAGAACGTGGCGTGCGGGTCGAAAATCGCGACTTTCTACAGAGACCGGCGGAAACTGGAAAATTTCTGCGTTGCGCGACTAAATATAAATATCGAAGAAGAAAGAAAGAGCAGGCAGCAGACAGGCAAACACACGACGCGAGAACGAACGCTTCGATGATTGTTCGCTTGCTGGGCTGGGGTTTCCCCGGGTTTCACGCGATCGAGCGTTACACGATAACACGCATCTCCTCCCCCACCCCCCCCCGCCGTCGCTGCTTCCATTCCCTTCGTCCGTCCAAAGACCGAGTCACAAATAAGTTGACCGTCGACGGCGATGTTCAGTAGTCGTGTTTTCGAGTAACGATCCGTTCGACGATATCGGGTTTGGGAGGAAAAGAAGGTCGACGAAAAGGTAAAATAACCAGGAACGAGACACAGTACAGGACCAAGGACGAAACGTAACGTCGTATTCGGCAAGAAAAAGAAAGAGGGGGCAGAACGAGCCATCGCCGCGATATCGATCAAACAAATTGCGCGCTACCCAACGACGCGACAGTATCAGGTAAGAAAGAAACACCGTTACCGTACCAAGATGATGGTTACGCGCGTAGTGGTAGTGGATACAGAGAAACAGACGGCCAGTGCTGGGTCCTAATCGTTTCGACAACAGACACGATTGACACGAAACGTTTCATCTGTCGAAACTTTCCGACCATTACCGCGCGAATATAATTTTACCTTTCGTAACCATGTTTGATTTCCTTGATCCGAGTCAGGTCTTCGTGTAAGAGGTAACGTTTCGCTCCGATCAAACAGTTTCTGCGCAACAGAAAAAAAAAGCAATTCGAGTCGTGCAGTGTATACATATACCGTCGTTGCCGCCGAACGAATCTCCGACTGTTGATTGGGATAGGTAGGAAAGAAAAGGGGAAAGGGGACATTCGAGTCTAAATTACTTAAACGTGCCTGTGCTTGCACCTGCCTCGAACGTTTGTCAGACGCGGCCTCCATAGGCACTAAACTGCGATTCGCACAATCACTGTGCATGGTTGTGTAGGACGTTCGTAGGCTGTCACCTACAGCCACATTCGGTATCGGTCGCGCGACTGGTGGTTTTCGACGAATGGTTATGGCCACCACATGGTCCAACATCGTATCGGTGACCGATCGTGAACGTCTCGTGCAGTTTCTTCACCCAGCCAATCATGTATTGTACCTACCATTTAGGGAATGATTTTCCCTTCGTGAGCTCTGCTTACAGTCAAGTTACATATATACCTCGCAGTTCTTACTACTCATAACTGCAAGGGTCCCGGTATCGTCAACTCTTGTGCCGCACTTCCGTGCAGCCGCTGGGCAAGAGAGGAAGGGGGAGAGAACAAAGTCGCGTACTCACTCAAAGTATCGCTCGGTGTTGAAATTATAAAAGTCGAAGCCAAAGATCTCCTTTTCGGCCGGTGGAACCTCCTTCGTCAGCATATCTACCATCTTGGAGTTGTGAAAACTCCACTCGTTGTGCAGAAAGTGACTCAGTTGCTGAACGCTAGAGTAGACCCTCTTCTGAATCTTGACGAGCCTGCGAATTCGAGACAGAGGGATATGAACGATAGGTTGTCCGAGACAAACAGAGAGAGAGAGAGAGAGAGAGAGAGAGAGAGAGAGAGAGAGAGAAAAGGTAATTGATTAAGAAAGACGCATTCGCGTCCGTTGGTTCACTTACATCGGTCGACGACCGGTCAATTTTAAAGCACTATCTATCAATAGAGCAGGTAGTAGATGAACGAGCAACGTTAGTATGTAATGAAGCATCCTACTAGGCGTCAGTATCGTTCGGGGGTACCAAATGATACCTTCCAGGGGTATCTTCTCATTGACTCTTAAACCCATTTCGACCAGATCACGAATAACGATGCGGCGGATTTTGTAAGAAGTGGAGTTGTAAACGTGAACTTCAGGATTTTTGGTTATCCTGAAACAGGTAATTTTAAGTTCGTGCGGTCATTTAGACCGTTCGACGGACACGAGTTCGCTCGATTCGAACGCATACGACTGTTTGATATCGCAAAGCCTCCTGCTGCTATTCATACGTTTCTAATCCGCGTTTCCAGGCTGCCGTGATCATGGCTTTGATGGTTACATCGACGGGTAAGAAGTCGCTGGCGACGAACGGGTCTAAGCAGACCACGCGTAGTATTCCTTTTCCGCCGCCTACCATGATTCCTACCGGTCCATTGAAGTTGTCCACCCAACCGCTCACCGGATCATCGATCGTCGATATCACTAAGCAACGTAACAACGATCATTCGTATACATAATTGCGCATCTACAATCCATTCGGTAAGGATACGATACGATACGATACGATACGATACGATATGTATTATGTACGTCACGCAGGTCAATGTTTTACCTATGGATGGTCGAAATATCACACACGGCAGATCTTTCGAGTAGTCGCTTATCACCTGTTCCGCCAACCGTTTGCTAAAGGTGTACGTATTCGGCATTGAGCCCACGTATCTGTGGTTGAAAATCGAGCGAGTTTAGCGCGGGCGAGTTGACAACAACGTAGAAATACAAGGACGAGAACGATGATGACGACGGACTCACTTGGAGGATAATGTACGAAGAATCTGCTCGTCCAGGCATTCGACCATCCGTATCGTGTCCCGCCAGTCGGTAATCGGGGGATAAACGATCTCGTCTACGACGGGCTTGTCCGCCTGCGCAAATGCCGAGCTAACGTGCACCAAAGCCTGTAGGGAAATTAATTCGTGTCTTCGGTCCTGGTTAAAATCGGTTCGATAAAATTTCTGATAGCGAGCCGAAAACACATTAATCCGCGGTCTACGTCCATACTTGCCACTAAATTTTTCATGCCTCCCGCCAATATACAAACGTCCCTCGTCGAGCGGGTGTTCGAGAATATGTCCTTTTTCAGGTCTTCGTCGAATCTTACGTTCGCGGCGACATGGAAAATCACGGATACGCGATCCATAATTACTCGTCTCTCGATCATGGGTAAGCCCAATCCTTCGACGCTCGTGTCTCCGCGAACCGGAATCAATTTCTCGAAACTGGACGGCCTCTCTTCTCGTAATTTCTCGAACAGCTACGAACAAGGAAACGAGAACGACACAGGTGCAACGATTCGCGTTCCACAACATGTCCGGCTTACCGGTAAACCAATTATTTTCCTCAATCTATCGTCGATGGACAAACCATGCTTCGGTCGCATCAGCAAAAATATCTCTCGAATCTCGGGACAGGACCTCAACAGTTTCTCGATCAACACTTTTCCCAGGAAACCGGTGCAGCCCGTAACGAATACGCTCCTCCCAGCGTAAAACGCTGCTATCGAGGACCGTTCTTCTTTCGACCTCTTGTCGTTGTCGCTGCGAGCCTGAACAAAACTTTCCCCCATTATAACCGTCTCTTCTCGTTCCGTTTTTTTTTTATCCGTAATCCCGTGGAACACAAAAGCGATACGAATGAAAACACGCTGGACACATAGTCGATCGAAACTTACGGTCATCCTGCGGACGATAGCGAATTAAGGAATCGCTTCAATAGCAGGCACAATAGTTCCTTCTCTAGTGTCGTTCTCCGTCCGTTTCCCTTCCAAGACGATAACCGAATGAACGGGTCCCGAAAAATTTGACGGAAATGATACGACAGCTTACCTATCGACGATTCTATTCCGCACGATCGGTTCAAAGGTTAAGACCGTTAAGACTTTGCGTACGCATCCGTCCATTGTTCGGTTGCTCGCCATGTGTTGAACGTCGCAGGTGACGACACCAATCAAGCATTCGGGTTTTTTCGATCTTGACATTCGGCATCGTTGTTTATTTCTCGATCAACGAATTTCCGATTCAACGAAACCTTCTTTTCCCGACCCCCGGCACAGACTATTCGCTGTTTCGTTGTTTGTTTCGAGGGAATCGTAGTTGTTTCGCGGTTGTTCTCGTTTCTTCTGATCGAGACGAGTCGAGATCCGTTACGTACGTCACGATGAACGCATCCACTACCGAACGAACGGAAGAGTCGTCGCCGTTGTCGTTATCCATGTCGAAGAGAAACGAGAGCGAGATGTTCTCGCCGCAGAGCGGTGGCGAACCGATTGTTCGTTCTACCTTGGAGTTAGCGCCGCAGTCGGATCAACAAGTTTCTTCGAGGTTTGATGGTAAATACCGTCCAGTCGAGAAAGACCAACGTTGCTTTCTCGATTTTCCAGGCAGTCGACCGGAGAACAACCGACAGAAAGACTTCCGAGCATTATTTCTCAAGTCCAGTACGACGAATACAACGAGGAGGAGGAGGAGGAGGAGGAGGAGGAAGAGGAAGAGGAGGAGGAGGAGGAGGATGAAGACAGAAAGGTGAAGGAGGGAGAGGACGAGAAGCGGCGACAGAAGAAAAGGGAAGAAATTACGGTGCGATAAGAATTCGGCGAGTCGACGGGCAGGCCTCACCGCGTTTTATCTTTGATATAACAGCAGCTACTCAGAGACAGATATTCTATCTGCATATAAACATATAATACATATCTGCACAACTACACACTCTTACTCGTGGAACTTGCGTATTTCAGCTGGAGAAATGGCGTGAGCTACAGGTTAATTTCGATTTCGTTTCCTTTCACGACGTCTCTCGTGACGCACGTGCCAGCGTTCCGACGGAGCATGTCTCCCTCAACTTGCTTTCCGCGGTTCGATTCGATTCTTTTCAATATGGATCGATGTAGAAAGCGATAGCGAAGAAAGTTACGAAGACGACGAGATCCCGAGCCATGAAACGGAAAGGACGGAAAGGACGCAAAGGATCGCCGAAAGAACAAACCGGTTCAGGCGTCGGAGACGAGGACGGCGATGGCAACGGCGACGGCGTTGGTGATGTCGAAGATATCAGGTAGATAGACTAAGGAGGAGGTGTGATTCGTCACCTTCGTCTTGTCTACTTCACAGAGAGAGAATGATAAAGGACATGCAGGAAGAGATTCGGCTGGAACAGTACAATCAAAGGCAGACGGTGCAGCTGGAAGCGCTGCAGTTGGAAAAGTGTGAAACACAATTGAAGGTGACACGAGCAATTCTTGCTCGTCATTGGTTCTCTTACACGAACAACGTTCATATTCTACAGTTGGAGGAAAATGTTGGTACCTATCTTGGCGGTTCGGTTCCGCGACACTGTATGTACGATTGAATCGTGAGTGATTTACAGTGGGCCAGATACATGACTTGCGATGGTCTTCCGGATCCTGGATCGTTGTCCGACATGAACACGTTCTTATTCGTTTGGTCGATCGAGAACGAGGACGCGGGCATGGATACGATTGTGAAAAAGTGCGACATTATCACCGATGTAGGTAACACGCCGAGCACGCGAGAAGAAATTTCATTGACACACGATCGATCGAAATCGAAAACGTCGCGCGATTCGTTTCAGCTGATGTCCAAGTTGGAAAGAATCATACGTTCTTCCGCCAACGATGCCGCCTCGAAAGAGTACCAGCAGTACAACGACGAACGCGAATCGGTGAGTAGCGAGCGCAGCCATCGAACTCGTTCGTTTCCACCAACCTTTTCTATCCCCGTTCCACGTACTGCTCTCGTTTCGACGTCCGTAGATCGCCCGAGAATTCTGGAGAAAACTCCAGTTGTGGATAGATCTCGCGTGCTACCGATTGCTGCGAAACATCGAGGCCAATATGACAAAAGAGGATATGAAAATCACCAGGTATGTTCGCGTGTCGAACAAAATGGTGTGCTGTGTTTGGGCCCCGATAACGTTACCCGTGGGAACCAAACGGATTACGGAGAAGGAAAGGTAATAAATACATCATACCTACTGTACGTACGACTGTTCGCATCGAACCGACATGCGTTCTACCGTATTTATAATGTACATAATGTACATAATGTACATAATGTACATATTATACATACATACGTACATACGTACATACGTACATACGTACGTACGTAATACATACACATATGATACATATGTGTCGACGAGACCCCGGATCCAGACTATATCAAGTCCATTTTCTTTGAAAAGTGACATTTTACATGTTTTACATATAAAATTGTTCACTTCCTCCGATAGTAAAAATGATTTACTTCCAAGTCGTTTACTTCTTAATTGTATAATAAAGTAAAAATCAGCCAAAAAACACTGCAAAGTCCATCGCATAGAAAACTTTATGTGACCGAGTCCATTCAATGGTTTAAAATGGTAACGATTATTTCTCGTTGAATTCTCACCGAAAGGTTCCAATATTACAAGGCATTTACACCTGTGATTTGCTCTCCTCTAAAGTTTGATAAATGTGACTTAATATAATATGTATACTCAGGCTCCGGGTTTCGGGGTCCAGATATGTGTACATATAAGCGACGTCTATTTGAACAGTAAGCCGATCGAGGTGGCGTTCGAGGAGATGAAGTTGACGATCAAAATGCCGGCTGATGTCGATTGTCATCGTAAGGCGATTCGTGGACTCTGGCTGGCTTACGATCATTACTCGGTTGAGACGAGTTCGTGTCGAATGCCGGACCTCCCGGAGGAATTACGCGGTCCATGGGATTGTTCTCTCGGTAGTTTGTTATGCTCGTAAAGCATTTCGAATACTATCATCGGCTCTGTCTGTATTATGGTTTGAACACTACCATATGTAATATCGATAGAATGCGTAACTTGTTTGTTACGTAATTTATTATAATAACAGTAAGATATACCTCCACGCAGCATATGGCCACAGGCTGTTGGGGCTAAACCTAAAGCTTTCTCGAAACGAACTTTGAAGCCTCCTACGAACCGTTCAAGTATACATACCGTGAATCCAACATTCTTCGGTAAATCCCGAAATCACTGTTTTCCAGACCTCCTCGAGTTCACGAGGAGAGAATACCAAGAGAAACTTCGAATATGGGAGGAACAAGCGGAAGACCGACGACTTCGATTGGAAGAAAAGAAAGCTATACTTGAAAGAATGGAGAACCCACCGGCTCCGCCCAGTGTTCAGAGAAGAGGAAGACGTGGCAAGAAATCGAAAAGGGAGCAGTCCGCAAAAGGTCATTTATCCGAATTTGAGCAAATGTTGGAGACATTTTTACCCGCAGAAACGGAGCTGTTACCCTATTTGCCGACGCCGAACGAGATCGTTCGGCGAAGAGAAGGTAGGAGATCACAACGGACAAGGTAGCTAGATATGTATGTACGTATGTACTTACATACAGAATAGGTATAGCTTATATGTATACATATACCGGATCTCTAGAATCTCGTTACTCGGCAAACGTGCCGGAAACGTCTCGCCTCACGGTTCCTGCTATCGTTTCAGAGGAGCTTAAAAAAGAGATTCGCAAGATGTTGTTTACCCGTTGCGAAAAAACTGAGGTCAATTTGCGAAAGTATAGAATACTCGGGGGTGTGTTTCGCGTGGATCTTATTCATCAACCACCGCAGCCGAAGGATCTTGGAAAAGACACCAGTTTGACCACTCGTATGTATCCCGAGTATATGTATGATATGTACCTACTTACTATCATCGTGACTGATCTGTCGAACGATTCGGTTAGGTTTGTTTGTCGGTACACATGTACTACGCGTCTCATTTTTTCTACGTTCTAGTCGAATTGCCGAAAGAACCGCGATTCGTGGCATTCTCGAGACGTTACGAGCCACCGCAACCAGCACCGGATTCCGAGAGGACGCCCGAGGTAATCGAGGCGGAGATGAAAGCTCTAGAGACCGCGATGGAATCGCTTCTGCTGGTTACCGTACAGTTCGTATTTCATTCGAATCGTTACGCGCACCGTCAACTTCTCGAACGGGTCGCTTTCGTCTTCGTCGACAGGTTGCCCGATTCGGTTTTCTGGTTCGAGCCTCCGTTGGTCGCCCATTGGATACCGGAGAAACAGATTTGGTCGACCAAAGACATCCACGATATTAAATACAACGAGGAAAAACAGACGATCGCGTTTAGAAGCGGGAAATTGGGCATGCATGGTCTAGCCGCTTACAAGCTCGCCAACCTGCCGTATCAGAGCTGGGAATTGAAACCGGAAATGGGAACAAGCGGTCGGGAGTATGCAGGTGTTGTTCTCAATCTAACCGCTGCCACGATTCAGGCTGAATTCGTGGTCAGAGTACGTTTCACAACTTCTCAATTCGTAAATATTCTTTCGATGCAGAAATCGAAAACATTCGAATTTCTGTCCCTCGTTAATTCGACTCCGTATCGATCGTATAGGAGGATCGAGTCTGTCTGAATTCGTTCGTCGGTGGCTCGTCGACACCGCTCAAGGGGATACTCGGTGAATACGTCGAGTTGGAAACTCTGATAGAGGTAATGTCTCCCGAGATACATATGCATACGTTTACCTAGGCGTATATACGTACGTATGTATGCATTTATACATACGTTATACACATTTTCGCGGCGTTCCTTCTGTGAACCGAGGTATTTCCCGTACCGCAGCGAATGCAACGGATCGGATGCGATCTCTTTCCGGAACAGGATGCCATCAGCTACCTGAAAGGGCTTGCGACCAAGCATCCGATCGCGGAGAAGCATTTGCGCGAATGCATGGCACTATTGTCGACCGGCTACACCTTTGCCTGGTCTCGATGGAACGCGACCCGAAACTTTTGGGAGATCGTGTTACAATTCAAAGAGATGCACGGTTGCGTAGCCAAAGAGGTAATCACTTTTCTGCTCGTTCTCAACGTTCAACGATCGCCAATTTGACAACTGTAACTACAACCACCATTTACTTCCTCTATGCTACCAGCGTACGAATCTGTCGCTTCTGGTAACGCCTTGGCGAACAATGCGGATACGCTGCACCGAAGTCAGCTCGGAATTTTCCGATTTACCTCTCGACGACGAAGATAACAAGGTAAAGAGACAGTTTTCGCGATCCTATACCTATTGTATGCATGTAATGTATGTATGTATGTATGTATGTATGTATGTTTGTATACCTACCCTGGCCGAAATTTCTATAAAGTCACCACGTTTTTTGCACCAGCAATAAAATTGAAGATGACTTTATGGACAAAGTACCACCAATTTTATGGTTCTATCGTAACTGTTTTTGTATTTTCATTTTTTTAAAATAGACGTTACATTCAGTATTAATATACCTATTTTCAACTTTCCTTGTGTAAAAAGTGAATGATTTTATAGAAATTTCGCAGTTTGTTTTCACTTGAATTATATTGGTTTTTTCTTGTTTTTCTTGTTTTTCTTTTTTTTAAATAAATGTTATATTTATTTTTTGCAGCCGATGTGTATGCCTTCGTTAATTAATCCCAAAATGCTACCAAAGACAAATCTTTCATTCGTATGGAATAATTACAAGAAATTATCAAAAAACATGGTTACTTTATAGAAACTTCGGCCAGTGTATCGCTTCTTTTATCCCCTTTCTCTTCTATCGCGTTTCTATTCTCGTTACAGTTCTACGCCGATCTGTATCAGTTGGCGGTAAACACTGCTGGTATCAAGACTCGACTTTTAATCGAACGAGTACCGTTCAAATTGGTATCGACGGTTGCTCGACTCCTTGAGCGTACAAACGTTATCGACATGTCGTCTTGACTTCCGACGATTGAAACGAAACACTGAACTCTGTTTTCCAAATGAAATTCTTTTTATTCGAATACGTAACGTATCTCGAGCATAAAGCGATATTCAGGAAATAATAAACGCCTCCGTTCGATCTGCAATTGAACGTAAAACGTTACCTCGAAGGAAACACACAGCGATATCGAGATTACGGCTAAGCGGCAATTAGAGTTAATTGATGCGCTTCAACGGTTGGTGTCGACAGGGTGGTGGGAGCGGGGGCGGGGATATGGTCCGAAGGTATGTGGGAAGAAGGTAACAATAGCGAAACACTACGATACGGAAATGGTACATCTGTCCGTCGTCGTGAATCCCGTAACCAGATCAACCAAGCCCGGTACCCCGTACCTACTCGAAACTGGCCCCGGGTACAATACATATACATATACATACGTGGGCAACAGACGTTTTCCCGCTGCTGGCACATCGCCGCACCGCCGGAAATGCGACATTGTTCTAATAATATAATACGACACTTGTTCGCTTCATTCTTTGCCCGATTAACGTCCACGAGTACATAATATTAGTCGTTTCGTCTGTTCTTTCGGCACGACCGAGATTGTTAACGTATATGTATGCGGTACCAAACTAAAAAATATAGAGTGCTGCTAATCCAGACTTAACTCTAGCACCTGGAAAAGTAATCGTCCCGACCGATTTTGCCCGTACGGGTTGCCGTTCTTTTGCTTCGCGAGGCGATATCTGGTTTCATCGAAACCTTCAAGCGCCTCTTCCACGTATCCCGCGAGCAAACGCTACATGCACCACTTTGTATCCGATAAATTCTCTAACTACGTGTTTCCCTATATTCTTTGCCACCTTCGTCCCGATCCTTTGATATGCGTTCCAAATCGCCTTGTTTCTTTTCTGTCTGTAACAACGCACTGACGCGCACTTTAATTTTATGAAAATTGCAACGCTCGTGCGCATACACACACACACACACACACACACACCATGCATGCACGCACTATCTCTCTCTTTCCACTCTCCTCTATCTTCGTCCCCCGTGCGCACAAACACAGAAACACGCAAGCAACAGACGCACAGATAAAACATACCGATACTTTGACAAAGTAACAGTCCGCGATTTTTCCATTTTTTTTACTTTCCTTGTTTTCTCGTTTCGGTTGCTCCGGCGAATCGATACCGCCGGGCGAAATCCGAAAGCACGAAGAGGGCGAATGGTATCGTTCCTCGAAGAAGGTTGTGTGTCGCGCACAAACATAGTTACCGATTAGCTGAACCATCGATTCCGCTCGGATCCGATAATGGGATTCCATCGCTAAGCTCGTAAACGTCGAGCAATGACGCGTTTTCGCGCGTATTAAAATCCTATTAACGCTCACTAACGTTATCGCAAACTCGAACTTGATTCGTAAGCTGTTTACGATTGAGGTAATCCATGGTATAAGGCCCAATTCTCATCCAGTTCGAACTAACGTGTACTTAGCTGTATACCCTACGTATCTCGACGATTCGTTTTGCTCTAAAAATCTTTAGAATTAACGCGCGCTCTAATATCGCGACGGAACACGTTAAATCGCAAACGTTCCCTACCTACTGCTCGATCGACGAATCTCTGGCGTTCCGTTATCACCGCCACACTCGTACACGTATGTACATATCTATGTATGTAAGAGTATGTATGTATGCATGTATGTATGCATGTATGTATGTATGTATGTATGTATGTATGTATGTATGTATGTATGTATGTATGTATGTATGTATGTATGTATGTATGTATGTATGTATGTATGTATGTATGTATGTATGTATGTATGTATGTATGTATGTATGTATGTATGTATGTATGTATGTATGTATGTATGTATGTATGTATGTATGTATGTATGTATGTATGTATGTATGTACACTGGTCTACGACGCTCGACGGAAAAACCTCGCAACGTACTCGAGTCGCGAGCAAGCACCTGTTACGCTGTGTCTTCCTCGACTCTCGGGATTCATAGTCGTTCGAGAACGGTGCGAGACGATAAAAGAAAATCAGAGGTCCGCGGTTAGGTTTGGCACTTGATTCGATCGTGCGGTCTCGAACGGAATAATTTTTCGCAAACGCTTCTACATCGTCGACGAGCAAGTCCGTAGAGAGTCCGTACGGATCGGCGACTTGCCCACATTGTCGATCGTACAACGTAGGACCGAATAACGCGACTATTATTCGTAAGCAAGGATTTGGCCCGAACGACATCATTTTAACGCGTCCCATTTAACGCGAAATCAAAATTTTCCATTCGAAATTTTGCATTTTGCGTGCAACGGTATAACACACTGACTACACAACATACAAACGTTAGTCTAACGGTTTCCTCTCGTGCTAGTCGATACTTGGATGTACACTTATGCGATGCGTGTACGCGAATACGCTAAACGTGTTAAAATCTCGTGCGCCGCATCTCCTCGCGTCGCGCTACGTTGCCTTGCGTTGCGTTGCGTTGCGTTGCGTTGCGTTGCGTTACGTACACCGTATCTCTCCGAGTCTAAAGCAACGCGAATCACGCTATAGTCACGCGTTCATATGGTTTATCGGTGTCTAAAGACGAATTTCGAGCGTTCGCAACGACACGTTCTTTAGCCGATATCGCGCGTGCATTTCGCTCCTCGTTACACGTATCGCGCGTAAATTCGACTTTCGATTTTGGTTCTGTTGCCGGTACCGATCAGGATCCCGATCCCGATCCTGTATTCGTTCGTGTTTAGTGAAACTTGATTTTTCGAAGAAATGTGGTTGCCGCGATCCCCTAGAATTCGTTTCTCGTTAGTTTGTAACAATCGTTGAGTGTATAAATGTTCGACGACTGCGCTGGCGTGGTTGCGAGTGTCGCGAAGTCACGTTACACGTTCGTGCCACGAACGGATCGATTTACGCAAAATCGAAGAAGCGTCCATGCGCGTCGACGCTCGTGATCGCACGCTGCTCGGTCTCGTCTATTCTTTCGTGCAACATCATTGAAATGCTCACGCAAACGCAAATGTAAATGCATACACACACTCATGCTCCACGAACGTAAGCACAGTTTATGCACACACGCGATTCCGCAATATTTGCAAAACCTGGTTCCGATCTTTGCGATCGTTCTACGTTATCGTCAACAACAGCAAACTATTGGATGTGTAACGCTTAAGATTAATTCAAGGTATAACACCGATCACAATTTTCGTCGCTTCCAAAAAACTCCGACTTTGTCGATACAAAAGTTCCGTCAAAAATATCGCTGCTTTATCGTTTTCTACTAGTAAGAATTCAACATTACTTATGTTCCGGTGTCCTGTTCCGATCGATCGTCAAATGTAATCGCGACGATCGATCCGAGGAAAATTGGTTGAATTTCAAAGTACAGATTGGGAGGAAAGACGAGGAAAGGAACAAGAAGGGAAGTACGTCGCGACCCAGCGAGTAGAAAAGAACCGGTCGAAAATGCGCGGCAGATTCGCGAACAAAGACCAAGCGATATACAGACGCGAACAGAGCGAAGGAAGACAAGTTGGAGTAAGAGGTTTGAAAAAGAAAAAAGGAATGTTGACGAGAGCTGATCCTTCGACAACGAACTGAAATCGAAAACGGGCAAAGTACCGAGTCGCCGAGTTCGACGTTCATTCGGGTCTTTTCCTAATCGTTCGACCGTGAGTCGCGAGGAAGAAAAAGTATGTTCGGTGAACGGGAAACTCGGACGAACAGTGGTGGCTCGTATCACCATCCTGCCGTTGCGTTGTTGGAATCGAAAGACACCGGATATACGACACATAGAAAACGCTTAATCGCGTCAACTGGTATTCGAAGCAACGGTATTACGTACTCGGTACGTACTTACGCGTGCAAAATAGTCATAAAAATAACGTTCGATGTAAATGTCAATAAAATCGCGAAAGTAACATCGATCGGTCGCGTTTTCGAGCGTCTTGACTGCTCAAATTACGTATACATCGCGGACACGACGCAATCTTGTGTGAAAACGAACTCGTTATCGTTCGAGTCAAAGGTGAATTCGATATACATCTTGCCGAGAATCGTTGTCGCGTATGAAAAAATAATGAAATAACAGAAGCCGAAAGTATCCTGGTGTCCGAACGAACGAAAGCATCGCTCGTGATATGAAACGAGTCGATCGTAAAATGAAAACGTCGACAAGCTTCAAACGGAAATCGAATTCGTATGGCGAGGCTTCTCGCTCGACGAAACGAAATCCGCAAGCGTTTTAACGTTGGAAAACTGTGAGCTTTCTTTTTCGTTCCGTACCGTACCGTACCGTACCGTACCGTACCGTACCGTACCGTACCGTACCGTACCATTCTGTTCCGATCCATTTCATGTCGTTTCTTGTTTAGAGAGCTGACCGAGCTAAACCCATCCCAATCCCGACGACGCGATTTTTGAGAAACGCAAGACCATGAAATGCATACGTTCTCGTCGGCATGTGAAGTCGAAATCGAAACAACTCGCAGCGCTGAAGTCGAATGATTTCGGTCGGTATCGTATCGTCGGAAGACAAGGAATATCAGAGTTTAGCAAGGTTCGAGAGACCCGGAGGTACTTGGTTAAAGGTGTATCGATAAATTCGCTTAGGCGAGATCCAAGTATTGTGTGCGCGTGTATCTTTACTCCGGCTTCAATCGGTGCCATTGAACGATCGTTTGACGTGGCTTAGTGATCATGTCCTGCCAGTGTTTCGTTTCGCTGGCACCACTACCGTTTTTACCTGAAACGTAAAAGTTACGATGAGGCTCGAAATCAACGACTGGACTACAAAACGGAAAACATTCCAATTAAGAACGTCACATTCGTCTCCATTATCGAAATCGTCTTACCTGCCAATTGAATTCGCCCAATCAGCTCGTTTCTACCAATATTATCAAAGTCCATTACCATCACGTCCAATGAACACTCTCGAATCTTTTCCCACGGTACGTTGAAAGAAAATGCTTCGTTGAACACCGGATTCAAAGTACACTTAAATATAGGGGTCTTTCGTTTCTCGATTCTCTTATCGCCGAATTGTAACCACACTTTTACGTATGGATCTAAAATAACAACAATCGGTGAGAAGCAGAAAAAGAAAGAAAGAAAGAAAAATAGGAAAAAAGGGACAACGCGATGCCATTTGGGCATTTGTTCGTGTTTGTACATGTCATGTGCTATTTCACCTGACTTTCCGTTTATGTCTTTCGCCTTGAGATTCCTTGCTTTTAGTAGGGTCAAAGTTAGTACGGAATTGCTCGGGTGGTAACACAACGAGCACAACAGTTCTCCACATTTATCCTTTGCCGGTGGCTTTAAAGCCTTCCAAAACGATGGTTTTTCCGAGAAATCCACCTACGGTCATCGAATCAACGATCAGCAAATTAACGAGACGGAAAGAAACTGGATCAACCGGAGAAACGGAAACGCTCGCGAAATCGACGTAAATTACCTGACAAAGTGGCAAAAACATCTCGCCGATGGAATCGTCTCGTGAGAATCGATCGTAGTCGAACACGTGTAGGTGCAACACTCTGCTTTGCAACTTTTGAATCGGAAAACCTGTAAACAAAGAATAAATGGAGAACAGTCGAAACGGATTTTTAAATAATTCGTATCGATCGGACACGAGACACCGCGTGGACAGCCGCCTATTCGTATTCTTTTACCCTCGAAATAAAAGGTTTCGTTCCATCGCGGATTGAGCGTACGCCTCTTTATTTTCGTCTCGAGTCGGTGCTTCTTATCCGGCAAAAGGGTGACGCGAACATAAGGATCGGACGTTCCAGACAAATCCTTCGCCGGTAAATCTTTCCCCTGAAAGCAAGCGGGAATGCATCTCTCTCTCTCTCTCTCTCTCTCTCTCTCTCTCTCTCTCTCTCT